GGAAATTTGGGGAATGGATTTATCACGCTTAATTGGAAAGTCACCTGACTTCCTTGGGAGGAGAGACCAGTTGTGGAGAGAGAATTCATTTTATTTAATCAAACAATAGACAAGAGAGGATATTAAGAAGCAAATATGGAATTACTTTTAGCTCTTAGGATGATTTGAGATAAATAAGATGCCATGGTAAATTTTCTACAGTATGTTGATTACATTACCCGTTTGTTAACAGAGGGTTTTGATACTTTAACCTGGCATTTCTTATTATTGTTCTGTTAATTGGTTTTTTCATTCATATAGTGTACAGATAACCGGTCAAATTTGGGGGCCTGTTTTGCAAGGAGTGGGAAACTAATGATGTACTAATGTATGAATCAGCATTCAGTTAGGGGGAATATTATGTGTGTTGGTATTTTTAATGCACTTTTTTCAATGTCTTCTTTTCTTTGTAATTTTTTGTTGCTTCTTTTTAATTTGGAGTTTTGTATTTTAACTTTTTTTTAAATAAAATAAAAGTAAGATTTTTTTAAAAAAAAATTCTTTGGGTAATGACAGAGAAACCCATGACCCATTACAAGAAGGACAACGTGCTTTGTGATTGACCCATATAAATGAATGTGTCCAAAACCATACAAGGGTCCCTTCCGCCCCTCCTGTGTTGTGTTCCATGTTCTTTCTGCCTGCTTACGGGCGTCTCGGGAGCGTCGAGTGGCCCCCCGGGGAAGGGCAGAGCTGGGCTGGGAGCAATGGGCCGGCTGGAGTGGCGGAGCCTCTCTACTCCTCCCCAGGGCCAGCACCCCACAGGGCCAGGGGGCAACTCCCCACTGCCACACAGGCGGAGCCAGCTTTGCCACCGGGGTGCCCCTTGGCTTCTGCCCTCTGACCCTCTGCTGGAGGAAATCCCCCCCCCCATGGGGCGGGGTGGGGGGCTGGCCTGCAACCCGGGGGGGGGGAGAAACTTTTGGGCTGGCCCTTCAAAAGGGCTCCCTCGCCGGAGGCTTCAGGTGCAACGGGGGCAGCTGGCGTGGCTCAACCTTCCTCGGACCTTGGGGAGGAGACGCTGAAGATTCACCGGGTGATTTCAGGACTTGAATGGCAGGAACCGGCCGGGAGGGAGGCTGCCGTCCAATTGGCACCCGGTTCCGAAGATTGATTGCTTCCCGCCCTTTCTGGCTGGTTTGCCTGGTTCCGTGTCTCAAACTGGCACTTCCCGGGCAAATCCCGGAGTTCCAGGAAACCAAAGGGAACCTTTCCCCAAACAGACCAAACCTATTATTATTATTATTATTATTATTATTATTATTATTATTATTATTATTTAAAAAGGCATGCAATGGCTAAAGAGATGAATAATCAGTTCATGCCTTCCTCGGCCCAGAATAGCAAGATCAGATCCCCAAGTGGCTCAAATGAGGGTCCCCAACTCCAGAAATGGCCTTTGCTGCAGACTTCAGCTCTCCTTCTCAGGGCGGGAAGGACCCTTGGAGGTCCGGCCAGGAGACCCCGGAGCATATCCCAGACCGAGGGCTGTCCAGTCTCTTCTTCAAAGCCTCCAGGGATAAGAGCCGCCACGACTTCGGGAGTCCAGCTGTTCCACGGGTTAATTGTCCTCACCGCCAGGAAATTCCTCCTCAGTCCCAGGTTGCTTCTCTCTCTCCTGGGCAAGCTCCCGCCCGCTGCCTCCTGTCCGGCCTCCGCCTGCTTTGGGGAATAGGTTGCCCCCCCCCCACTTCCCTCTGTGACAGAGAAACCAGCCAGCTCAGAGGACCACCCAGTTCGACTGCGCTCAACAAAGATCCTCCTTTCAGAACCCGCCAGGAGGTTTCCTAAGCAGTCCCCGGGAGCGTCTTCTCCAGCAAGTTAACTCCCTTGTTCCACTTTGGAGTGAAGGGACCAGGGCTCCACCTCCCTCCTTCCCCTCCTCCACTGGAGACCATCTTCCTAGTCCTCTTGAGGCTTCTCAGGGCTTCCTCAGTGCCTCCAAGCGGTCCATTGCCCGTCCTTGTCTCTCCTCACGGCCTGCCTCCCAACAGACCCTAGCGCCCCACCCCCCTCGGTCCTTGAAGAAGGGGCTCTGGTGCCCAGAAGCGGACAGAGGAGTCCAGTTCCTGGAGTCTGGTCCATGCAGAACAGAGAGGGCCGCCTGATTCCTGACACCTGGAAATTGCACTCAAGTGGTCAAAGCCGAAAACGGCTTCTCTCTTCTGACTCACCTCAGCTGCTGCTTCTTCTGCGAGGGTTTACCCAACCTGGGATTGACCCAAAGGCCACTGTTCCTTTTCAGAGCCAAGACCCCGAGGTCCATCAACCTGCCAGCCAGGGGAGCGGAGATGCAGAACAGCACGGCCAACGTCTCCTACATGGAATTCACCCTGGTCCCGTTCCCAGGACTCCAGGAGCTCCGGCCCTTCCTCGCCCTCCCTTTCTTCTGCCTCTTCCTCCTGATCGTGGCCACCAACTCCGTCGTCATCTACACGGTCAAGACGGAGGAGAGCCTCCACTCCCCCATGTGCCTGCTCATCGCCTTGCTCCTGGCGGTCAACCTCATCGGGACTTTTGCCATCCTTCCCAGAATGCTCTTCAGCCTGGTGCTGCCCGCCAGCCACATCTCCCTGACCGAATGCCTGGTGCAGATGTTCTTCCTTTACTTCACCATCCTCCTGGACTGCAATGTCCTCCTGATGATGGCTCTGGACCGGTTCCTGGCCATCTGCCGCCCGCTGCGCTACGCAGAACTCATGACCATCAAGCTCCTGAGCTTCCTGACGCTGCTCTCCTTGCTGAGAAGTCTTGGCACGGTTGGGCCGGTGGTGGCCTTGGCCTCCCGGGTGAGGTTCTGCCGGTCAAACGTCATCGGCCATTTTGCCTGCGAACACATGGCCGTCATGGGGTTGTCCTGCGGCAACATCTCCGTGAACAAGAGGGCAGGTTTGGCTTTAAGGCTCTTTGAATTCATTCTTGACTTCAGCCTCCTCTTGGCTTCCTACGGCCGGATTGTCCACACGGCTCTGAAGATCAGCTCTGGCCACGTCCGTCACAAACTCTTCCACACTTGTGGCACCCACTGGATCGTGATTGTCATCAGCTACTCCTCCCGCCTCTCTTCGTCCATCATCTTCCGACTCGCCCAATCGGCCCCCCAAGATGTTCACAACCTCATCAGTGCAACCTACCTGCTCTTCCCCTGGACTGTCCACCCTTTGATCTACGGTATGAGAACCAAAGAGATCAAAGCCGGCCTCCGGAAACTTTTCCAGAGAAACAAACTCTCTGGGCTTCGCAAATCTGGGTGAGTTACCCAAAACTGTGTAAAAGTGGCTTTTCTTTAGTGTGGGGACAAACAATCCCTGACCCTTCGCAACAGGGACAGTGGATTTTCACCCGTTTCTAAAATATTTCCAAAAATATCTCCAAGTATTTGTATTAAGATGAAACGGAATAGAACAGAACTGTGAGCTCCTCGGTGTTCTCTGAACTCAGTGGTTTTCTTGCCGACATTTCATTACCAAACTAGGTAACCTCATCCGTGCATGGGTCAAACAAGTGCCCTTTTCTCTCTTTTCCTTCGTAATGTCTTTCTTTCTGTTTTCAGTCTCCCTGCTCAAGAATATTCTTTCTGGTACGTTTCCTCTCAGATCCGACCAATAGGATTCCAGGGGTGTGGGAGAGGGCAGGTCCCTGCCCAGAAGCCCCCTCCTTCCCCCAGGGCTGGCCGGACCAAGGATCCCCCCGTTCTTTGCCTTCAGAGGGGGGTCTTCCACCGTCTGTGGTTACTGACCACTTGCTTGTCATATGGACTATCTGAACCCCTCGACTCCTAAACAGTTGAAAGCAAACTCACGATTGGACTTTTTAGGCGTCACTGAATCCTGTGCACCCGTTACAGAAGTGGAAGGGACCTTGGAGGTCTTCTAGTCCAACCCCCTGCCCAAGTTGGAGACCTTACTCCAAGGGTGTTCAACCTTGGGAACTTTAAGACTTGTGGACTTCCGCTCCCAGAACTGCCCAGCCAGCACGAAGTCCACAAGTCTTAAAAGGGCCACGGCTGGGCACGGCTACCATCCCAGACCAACGGCTGTCCGGTCTCTTCTTAAAAGCTCCAGGGACGGAGCCCCCACAACTTCCAGAGACAAGCCCCGTCCGGAAATTCCTCCTTGTTTCTGTCCTTCTTACGCTTCCATCGGTGGCTTCTTGTCCTGCCTGTCTTGGAGAACAGGGTGACCCCACCCCCCACTTCTCTTCTCAAACGTGGGGAGGCAGTTCCTTCATCCAGACTCCCCCCCCCAGAGTGAACTCAAAGTGACCGACCAGGGAAGGTGCGCAAAGGTCTCGAAGGACGCCCCTTCAGTCATCCCCACTCAGTCTTTATTGATGAATCTTAGACAAGCCTCAAGGGTTCAGGTCTTCAGGCGGAGTAGCCGATATACAATAAATAGTCAAAATGGAAGCCACGGATTTTGTTAGGAAACCCCACCGTGAAGTCGAGGAACCTCCTCCGGTTCAGTCCAAGCAGCCCAGCCTGGCCACCGAGGGCAGTCGGGACCTTAACGGAGCAAAGTTTTCCAGGGATTCGAGACGAGGGAGAAATTCTTCTAAGAACTCCTTCCCCAAAGAGGGACCCAGGGAGACATGGGGGGGGAGGGGGGGCAGCTAGGAGGGGCAGCAGACCCTCAGAAGGGGCCCGAGAGGAGGAAGGGGATCAGGCAGGAGGGGGGAGGGGTCATCAAAGCAGCTCAGGCTCGGCACGGCTGAACCCGCCTCCTGAGAGGGAGGGGGCTGAATAAGGAGCAGCCCCTCGCACAGCTATTCAAAGGCACTTACAGGTTCCGGCTGCAGCCGCCGGACCCCGTCTTGGCCTGCTTCCCTTCCCCTCCCCGCAGCGCTTGACCTACCCTCCCAATCCTGGCCTGGCCGCTTCCCGGGGAAGGCCAGGGCCGGGGGGGCTACAGGCCCAGCGCCCCGGCCTGGCTGCCCTGGACAGGGACCTGGAGCTACCTAACCTAGCTGGAGGGGGGGGGAGGCGGGGGGAGGCCCGGGGGCTCCTTAAGAGCCGCACATCAGGCACTCGTCCCGGTTCTCCAGGGAGCAGACCATGGCCGCCGTGTTCCTCTCCTTCTCCTTCTCCTTCTTCTCCTCCTCCTCCTCGTCCCCCCGGGAGGCCTTCTCCTTCAGCTTCTCCTTGTTGAGGGTGAACTGGATGGGGTTGGCCGCCGGCTTGGTCCGCAGGTAGTACATCCCCGTCTTCAGGCCCTGCGGGAGGCAAGCACACATCAGCCCAGAGAGCCGCGGCTTCCGTCTTCGCGGTGGAGGCATCCAGGCTAGAAAGCGGGGGGTGGGGGCGCGAGTTCCAGTCCCGCCTTAGGCACCAAAGCCGGCTGGGAGACTTGGGACTCCACTGACCATGACCCCACTGGGGAACACAGTCGGGGCTCTGCTTCACAGCTGGCGGAGGTGCCTGTTTGCAGGGGTGCAATGGGCCTCACGGGCCTCCCCAGCCGGCTCCCTGCTCCCCGTTCCCGCCGCGCTCACCTCCTTCCAGCCGTAGAAGTGCATACTGCTCAGCTTGCCGTAGTTGGGCTCCGCAATGTGGATGTTGAGAGACTGGCTCTGGTCGATGAAGGCGCCCCGGTCAGCCGCCATCTTCAGGACGGTCTTCTGGGAGATCTCCCACACCGTCTTGTAGAGCTGCTTCAGGTCCTCGGGGATCTCCGGGATATTCTGGAAGGCAGAAGAGCCGCAGGATGAGCCTCCTCCCAGGCGGCCGGAAAGCTCTGCTCGGAGCAGCAGAGAGAGCGCCGGGCGCCCCAGCGGCCTCTCGGCAGGCAGCCGCGGACAGAAAGCCTGGGCGACCCAGCAGGGGAGCCCCCTGTGCCAAAGCTTCCTTGGCGGATTAAAGTTCTGCCCCGCCTGTCTCAACTAAGGGGCTCCGGGCGGTTTTCATCCTATCACTGCAAGCAGCCAGCCTCCCACGGAGGATCCGTACGCTGCACGAGGCAGGCTGGGGGGCTGAGAAAATACCCGCAGGCCCCCCACGCCCTGGGCAGGATCCGTTTCGGCTCCTCCCCTCTGGGCAGCGCTATGGGGTGGCTGCATGCCAGAAGAACCAGACCCAGGGACAGTCTCCCCCCCACCCCCTGGTGGAAAATCCCCCCGGCAACTGCTGGGCGTGTGCAGGCTGCGCATCCCTTCAAGGGGTGGGGAGGCTGAGTTCTTCCGTGAGAGGAAGGATCTGGGCCTCCCGCGTGTCTCCCCTCCTGCCTCCTTCCAAGACCGCCCTTGCCGGCTCATCTAGATGGCCTTCGGCTACCGTCTCCTGCCCCTTTTCGGCTTCTTTCAAAGCTTCCTGGCCACCCAGGCGGCGCTTGCAAAAGCAGGGGGCAGCCTTTCTCCCCCGACCCAAGGGGGGAAAACACTGCCTTCCCGCCTACTGACCACCACAGCCCTGCGCTGCGCAACCTACACCCCGTCCCCGGGTAAGGGAAAGGCAATTCCACGAGGAAAGAGCGCCAGGCGAGGCTTGAGGGGTAAGCGGACGGCTTCCTCGGACGCAACTGGGGTGTGTGTGTGTGTGTGTGGGAGAGAGAGAGAGAGAGAGAGAGAGAGAGAGAGAGAGAGAGAGAGAGAGAGAGAGAG